CATAACATTTGGCTCCTTCTAAAATTTTGGGCCTGAATTACATACATATTAGGTCATTGTTACTTTTGAAATTATACAAATTAAACTTCGACCCTAAATATTTTTGGGGTTCAGATACTTCTTTGGTCCTTATTAGTTCTGAAACTGGGTAGATTAAGCCTTGACCTCATTTTTCGGTTTAAAAACATTTTAATTCCCTGTTGAGTTTAAAAATTGGCGAAATAATCTTTGCCCTCATTTTTTTTTAGTTTAAATACTTCTAAGGTCTTTGCAAATTTCAAAATTAGACTCTGAAGTTTAAATTTTAAATTGATGTCATAATAATTAAAACTTGACACCACATTTTGTTTCTCTTTATATTCGGGACCCCTAAAATTTCATCCTGGTTCTGTCCCAACTCGAGTCTAAGTAACATAATTCCTTTATGGACCCCGATTGAATCTTTTGTGACCTCCATTATTTTGTTCAAAGGGCTGTCCTAAGTTCTCTTATTGAACAGATGTTTTTGCCAATTCATGCACTTCATAAATCCTTAATGTTGACTTGTTTGAATGCTTCTTGCTTTTTTCGTTTGATAAATTTCTGCGAACAGGATCGGCCTACGACGAAGGTTCATGCTGCTCCAGGCGGCGGATCCTCCCTGGATTACCTGTTCGGTGGTAATGGTAAGTGAGGCTTCGGATCCTTTAAACGTTTGAACCACTGCTTAATTGCTGTCTTAAAAGCCCTCAGAAACTTGAGGGAAACAATTGTACTATGAATCTGTGTTATATTTGAAAATATTTTCAGTTGTGGTATTGTACAACGTAATACTGCTGGGCGGGTTTATTCGTGTTTAGTAGACTTGACCATATTAGATATGATTGTACGAAACATCAGATGAAACATTAGATGAAAAATAAAGGGTAAAACAGTGCATAAACTATTAGTTTTGGCCCGTTTTAGTATTTAAACTTTTAATTTTTTTTAAAACCATACCTAAAATTTAGTTTTTGTTTTATTTTAGTACCTCGCCGTTAAAAACTTTGATTTTTATTTCATTTTAGTACCTGTTCAAAGTTTACGTTAAGTTTTGAAAAAAATGAAAGTTTAGGTATTAAAACGAATCAAAACTAATAGTTTAGGTACTAAAATGAATCAAAATTGATAGTTTAGGTATTAAACACGTTAATTTTTTTAACAATTGATACTAAAATGAAATGAAAATTACACGTTAGGTATCGTTTTTAAAAAATTGAATGTTTAAGTATTAAAACTGAACAAAACTTATTGTTTAGGTACTAAGTGTGTAGTTTACCTAAAATTAAAACGCGATACAAGTTTATCGGAATATAAACACGACTACATGAATATGTTAGAACTTGTGATACAAATCTAAAATCCATTCGAACCATAATGTTTTTGTTTGATTTTCTAAAATGTGATGCAAATGTAGTATAATAGTTAAATGTCAATAATCACTAGTAAAAATTTTGAGAAAATCTTAAAATCCATTTGAATCGTAATATTTTTGTTCGGTTTATTAAATTTTGATTTAGATAATATATTTTTTAATAATCTTTTGTAATATATATTCATAATTTTCTTAATATATTATAAACACAATTACTCGATTCTAATTCTTCTTTAATTCTTCAGAGGAGAATAACATTTTATTTTACTACTAACAACTTTAAATAAATAAAAAATTATTATTTTTAAGTTAAGGTGATTACAAAAAAGTATATGTTCTAAATACTTTCAATCATTTGAAAATAAACGTTCAATGACGCGACACTAACACTGTTGCGTATTATCTGAATGCGACAATGACATTGTTGTGCATTATCTAAAAGCGACACTGACACTGTTATGTATTATCTAAATGCAACACTGACATTGATATGCATTATTTGAATGTAACACTACTAATATTTGGCCTCACATAGCCATCATATACTAGTTAACTGAGGGAATCTAGTAATCCCATATCATCGATAAAATTTCCACTAAGCTATTGAATGATCTTATGGTCTTACATAGCAATCAGGTAGATCATTAAGGGGGAAACTGGTGTCACATACCATCAGTACAGTTCCAGCTTAACTGAAGCATTGGTTCAGTCTCACACAATCGTCAAACCAAGCTTTAAGGATATTTCTTGTAATGGATTGATGCAACTACACATGCATATCTGAGGGTCCAAAAGTCACACAACAATGACAATGTTGCTCTAGGGCAACTAAGGTAGTCTAACTACACACTAGTGTCGCTCGACACACTAAGGTGAGGTCATCCTCTCACTAATTGCTATCTCGCTTGTTCTTTTATCTAGAATGTTATGCAAAGTTTTATTTGTTGCCATTGTTGTTAGTTTTTAAGCTTCTCTATTCTAGTCATTCATTACTTACGGGAGTTTTAGTCTCTTTTATCTCTAAAGAGGTCTCTATGCGTTTAATGATTTTACGACGATTATTGTGTTTGTTGTTCACTGCATGTAATATTAACTATTCTGATTGGGTTCATTTCTGGGTAGAGACACTCTAGTCGCTCTTATCGTACTTCTCTTCCATACCATTTGAATTGGATGGACAACTTATATGTTTTCGGTTCACTAACGTTATCGGAATATAGGATTTCGCTATTAAGTAATCTAACTTACTTATCGTACCACTTGTCGGTACATACTCTGCGATGCTCCTCGTTCTTAATTATTCAATATGTGCCAGACTGAAGACACTTAGACGTATTATGCTTAGTATGGTTATTTTGGTTGTAAACCACTTGTGTGAGTGTTTTTAGGCCCTTGATCTTTTATGTTCCTCACGAACTAAGTTTCACAATTACAGATCATCCTTAACTCTTACGGCCTTAATGAGGTTAAATCTAACCATCCAAAGTGGATAGTATAAATACTCTATTGCAGTATCGATACCTTAGGGTCAAGTAGCGATATCCCCATGAGTATCGGTATTAAAAATGGTTTATGTTTGCTAAAAAATTGGTTCAGTATCAATACCAGGTATTCCTAGTATCGATACTATAGGGGCAGTATCGATACTCTCCCCCTCAGTATAAATACTCCCTACTAGAATTGTCCAGATTTCATCAAAGTTCATCTAGTATCGATACTCGAATCTAGAAATCCTTTTTTAAGCTTGGGAAACACCCAAAAATCATCTCGAAGGTATTAGTTTGGTTCCTAATCATGTGCTAAAATTTTAGAAAGTTATTTAAGATCATAAAGTGTCATAAAAACACATGCTTTACACTAAAAACATCATCTAATCATGAAATTAAGCATAAACCCTAAAATACTCAAATACTCAAATCCTCAAATCTTTACAAATCATCATGTTTATAAAAGTCTTAACATCACAAAGGATTATAAAATACATTACTTTGAAGCTAGAAACCTGAAATAAACTCCTTTAGCAAACCAACACTCTTCTTTAGGACTTGGATGATAAAACTCTCACTTTCTCTCGTAAAATAAGAAACTCAAAGCTTGAATCTTAAAAGCAATGTTTTTGGAGGAATTAAGAACAAGATTAAAGTTTAAAAGAAGTAAGAAATGGCTCAAAAGACTCACCTTTAGCTATGGTACTTGGAGAAGAAATGGGATAAAGAAATGAAGAGAAGAAGGAGATGAAAGAGATAAAAGCTCTCATCTTTTAAAAATAGTATAATCGCACTATTGGTACCTCCTCATCTATTTGCTATCATCTTTTAAAAATAGGATAATCGCACTATCAATCCCTCCTCATCTATCTACTATGCAAAAATCCCTCTTTTTAAGATCTTTTGGACTCAATCCAACTGAATTAAGCCCAACTAGGTCCAACGACTTTAATTACGAATTCTATGAGTCCACATACCTCTCGGGTAAACCCGAAACTACTAACCCACAATTTGGGGTGTTACAGATAGACGAGGGAAAAGTTGTGGTGATCGTTTTCTTGAAAATTTCAAATTTTGGTATATCTTAGATATTTTATTTATATTTTTTATTGATAATTTATTTTCGTTCTTACTTATATATTCAAATATTTTTTATAACTATTTACTCAAAAAAATTAACCAATTGAGATCATACAATGATCATATAAGAAAGTTGTTAAAAATTTAACCAAAAGATTTGAATAAAATATAGATACAAATAGATCTGACTATATCGAAAAACAAATCACAAAAGAGGATCAAACTACAAAGGAGACCATCAATAACTATAAACCAAAATCGAATGTCGTGAAACAACTATCCTCAAATACAAATTGCGTATTCAAATCTAAATTGATAGTTCAAAGCAGAGAAGACTAGAAGAACAACAAATAGGTGTCATCTTAATCAATTAAGCCGACGTCAAATTCAACCTTAAGAGAAAAATAAGTAAAAAAATGATCAAGCGGCTAATAAAAAAGACCGAAAACATATTATAATGCAAAAATGTGTTATAAAAACAAAGTTGTAAAAAATAAAAAATAAAGATGTGATATAAAAAGGGAAGAAGAAATACATCAATTAGAAAAATGAAAAGATAATAAAAAGTTAACCCTAATCATGAGAGATTTAAATGTATTTAAATTTAAATCATATAATTATTTTAAACAAATTTAAATTTTATGATTAAAAAAATGAGAGAATACATATAAATAATTTGATCAAACAACCAAATTTATTTACTCTTAAATTATATAAATTGAAAACAATACTAATACTTTCTATTAAAAAGAAAGAATGAAAACAATAGTAATAATTTCTATTAAAAAGAAAGAATGAAAACAATAGTAATACTAATTAAATCAATACAAATGATGGTGATTATAATGCGTGGTGTGCATGGCTGGCACGTCGGTCTGGAGAAATGCCCCACCGCGAGGAAAAACGAAAGAAACAAACAAGAAAACGAGTAGTGCAGATTTGGTTGCAAAGTCAACATTGATGCGGAGGACTAATGCCTTTATTACCATCTTCCATACTTGTCGGCTGCCATTCCTTATTCTCCTCACTAATCCTACTTACATATCAACTTTTCCCACCTAAATTTCAACTCAGAAGGGGTACCATGGCCCCGTCACATTATGGGTCACCAAAACTGAGCCTTAGCCGAGTTCGTGTCCGCTCACCGTCTCTCCGGCGGAAATCAGCCACGAATTGCTTCGAAAACGACCAGCAAACGGTGGAGTTCTTAGGCGGCGGGGAGACGGATAAGATCGTAAACAACGAAGGTGGCAATAAGGTAATGGTGGTGGTTGGTTCGAGTCTGAAAGCTAGAGGAGCGCTTGACTGGGCATTGTCTTACGCCATTCGAGATGATCGAGATTCCATTCTTCTTCTTCATGTAGCCGACCCCAGAAAAACAGGTTAGCCTAATATATATTGAAAAATAATAATTTTAACCTTTGATTTTCCCTTATTTAACTATCTTAAAAAAATATAAAATTAAAAGTTTTACATTAATTATAAATAAGTCCTAACCTCTCTCTCTCTATATTATCGTAATTGTTTGAATAAATTATTTTTTATTTACTTTTGAGTATATTATGTTTAATGATTATGAAAAGTAAACTGAGTTTAAATATTAATGATATTATTAAATTATTTGTTTTTAAGTTTATTCATGTTTATTGATATTATGCAGAGTCGTCTAACAGGAAGCGTAATGCAAGGATATATGAATTGCTTCACGCCATGAAAAATATTTGTCAAACGAAGAAGCCAGGGGTACGTACTTCGGTTTCACTTCTATTGTAAAAGACACAACCATACATAAATCGTTAGAAAGTTTTGTTGATCAACTCGACTCGTTACTCGTTGAACTTGTTAAAATTTTGTTTGACTCGTGCTCGTTAAAAAAACTATTGCTCGTTTCTCGTTAAGTTCATTGCTCGTCAAGCTTGTTCTTCGTTTTTAGTCTCGTTGCTCATTAAGTTTATTGAAATTTTTACTTTATTTTATAATTATAGGTAAAATCTACTAATACTACATAGAACTTACTATAAACATAAATTAATAAATTTAATGAAAAATTTATTGAAATAGGTTATCAATCAATTTTAAAGTCTAAACTCTAAAAGAACAATTCAAATATACATTAAAATAATAATTAGGATTTAATTTTTGGGTATAGTAAAATAATAATTAATAATTAATATTTTAATATTTTTTGTTATTTACTAAAAAATAATAAAATAGTAATTTCTCATCTTCTTTATTATCCATAAGTAAATTAGTTTTTTTTAATGAAATGTTTTTAAGATAAATACTAAAAGTTATATATAAAAAAATAATGAGTTGCTCACGAACTTATCGAGTCGAGTTGGACTTTGTTAGACTCAACTCGTTAAAGTCTCTAGTCGAGTTTGAATTTGAGTCGAGTCAACCCGAATCGAGCTTTAATTGAATTTTAATCGAGTCACATTTGAGTTACTCACGATTTGCTTCTCATTAAGCACCCATCCTTTTGATGGATTTATCCTTAATTATCAAACGTATGAGTCGATAAATATAATCTTTGAATAAACGTAACATATTAAAAGCATTCAAAACTATATATAACAAACTGGGTAAATTATACGTTTATAGCTAAACTATTAATTTTAATCCGTTTTTCTAAACTTTCAATTTCTTCAAAATCATACTTAAACTTTAGTTTTTATTTTATTTTAGTACTCGTATTCAAATTTAACATTAATTTTTTTATTTTTTAAAAGTTTAGGTACTAAAATGGATCAAAACTGATAGTTCAGGTACTAACCACGTTCAATTTTTAACATATAGGTACTAAAATGGAACAAAAACTAAATATTATGTATGATTTTTGTAAAAACTGAAAGTTTAGGTAGTAAAATAAACCAAAACTGATAGTTTAGGTACTAAATTCGTAGGTTGCTCTGATAAAATCGTGTCTGTGTATAGGTTAAAGTTGAGGTAGCTAAAGTGGAGGGAAAGGAGAAGGGTCCGGCAATTGTGGAGGCAGCAAAGCAACGGAAAGTATCAGTTTTGGTGTTAGGGCAAAGGAAGAGATCGGTGATATGGAGTTTAATAAGGAGGAGATGGGGAGCAAAGAGGGGCAGCAGCGGCGGAGTTATGGATTATTGCATCGAAAACGCTTCTTCGTGGTGCATGACGGTGGCCGTGAGGAAGAAGAGCGACCAACTTGGTGGCTACTTGATCACCACGAAACTTCACAAGAACTTCTGGCTTTTGGCTTGAATTAAATCAGAAGTTAAAATAGGCCGCAAGGCATTTGATTTTGAGAATTTATATACTTCAAAGGTTAACGATCAAGTATTTTACATTTTTTATTTATAAATCACATTGAGAATTTTTAATTTAATATATTTATTTTTCGTCAATTATGTGTCGTATAATATAAAGATTATGAGTTGATTTAAGAACATCGTGTTTTATTCTTTAAACCATGTTAGGAGTAGAGATGAATATTAATTAGGTTAGCTTTTTAATTGATTTAAACTCGATTCAAGTATTATACTCCTCCATCTGTTGTTTAACCTGACTTGTATTTAGGGAGACTCCAAACGACCCAAAAACTCGACCTGATTCTTAAGATAATTTTTTTTATACAATAAAGATATATTATTATAATTATTTTTAGATATATAATAGATAATTATACTATGATTTTGCACCTGAAACTCGACACAGACTCAATCTTTTTCATCCATAAAAAATGATTTGACGGCTCAAACTCATTTTTTTTTATAAAAAACCTAACCCTATATGATCAAGTTGATTAGAACCCAACGAACTCGAGTCTCGTATTCAATCTTAATTAGAAGCTTGATTCTTGACTTGTGAATAAAGTAAAATGATTAAAACAATCACATATAATGAATCTTAACGATATTCTATATATATTAATCAATAAATAAATTAAATTATAAAAAAAATACGAGGATAGCCTAATAAAACTGTCAAGTTAGAAAATTTGGACAGAAAATACTAACGACACCAATAATTGGATTAAAATTCTAAAATTGAAAAGCAGGAGGATATTTTTAAAATTTTAGTGTAAATATATACTGATAGTATAATTTAACCAAATTCGAAACGTCTCATTTATCTTCGAACAATAAAAGCGTGATAATTGTTACGTATTTGTGTTCTCCAAAGAAAGCAAATGATAATTAATTATATTGAATTCAAAAATTAATTACAACAAAACTCAGGAGAATGTAAAGTAAATTGAAAAGAATAAAGAGAAATTAAGCCATCTACCATTTATTTAATTAATTTTTAAATTGATATGATTTATATAAAAGTATAAATATTATTTAAATATTATTTTTTTTAATTTACAACATAACGTATATAATAAATATTTTATAATTTTAAATTTATTTTTTAACAGTAATTCTAAACAATTAAATTTTAAAATTATTTTTACAGTAATTTTAAAAATCACTTTTGTAAAATTATACCAAACTAACTCTTAATTTCATAGCTAAAATTTTGATTAAACCTATTATATAAATAAATGAGATAAAAATGAAAATAAAACATAAGAGTATCACATGGTCTCACGTGCTGGTCCCCTCTCTCTTCTCCTTCCCTTGTCGTTTCCCTCTCTTTATATATCTATAAACCAAAATATTAAATCAATAAAAACCCGAAAAATAATAATTAAAAAAACACTTCCTCTCTGGTTAAAGTCTTCACCTTTAACTGTTCATGCAAACACAGAGAAAGCCCAGATCCCATTACCGTCATTTGTTATTCATACAGGCCTTTGATTCGCATCTAAAAGCAATCCCAACAGTTATTTTGTTGTCTTTTATTGCTTGTTTTGAGCTTTCGTTGACTGTAAAAAAAAAGAGAATAGTGTTGGAGTGATTGTATTTTAAAAAAAAGTCTTTGAAATTCTCGTTTATGATCGAATCTGAAGAAAAGGGTATTCGAGAAATCTCGATTTGGTAGTCGAATTGTGGAGGGTATTTGGTTTGTAAGATGCGGCGGCGGGCCAACGATTACCGGCGCCCGGCTCGACGGAGGTTTTCGCATTGGATCTATGCGTCGCTTGGGCTGTTCGTTGTCGCTGTTTTGTTTTTATTTGTAGTTCATCACAATCATAATGAAGATCGGGTCGAGCATCCTGTTCATGTAAGAACATAAACAACCCATTTCTCTATTTTTGATCCCTTTTTTTTTAAATCTTTGTTTTGGATTTTTAATTATCTGTTTTTATGTATGTGGGTTTAGATTCTTATTGTATAATTCAATACTTGTTCATAGGATTTAAAAGCTTGAGGGTGAAATTGAATATAAAGTTCTTCATTTTAGTATTCTTTTTTGCTGTAATCTCAGTGTTATGTGCTTATAAGAATGAAATGATCCCAATTACCATTGATAGAAAAATCCAAGCTATCTGTTAAAACCCAGAAATCAATTCACATCTCGGGACGAAGCTATGACCGAATCCCCGAGTGTCACTAAGAAACCAGCCTTCAACCCTGCAGCATTGCTTGTAGTAACCATGGCAGGTCGATCGACCTCCTATGGAAAAGGCCCTCGGTATGGAACCATATTTAATTTAGGCAGGGGTTGTCTACTTAGAATGAACAATCACTTGGTTTAGGTTGAGATTATGAATGCTGCTTAACTAACCTTGTTTAGGTTGAGGTTTAGGACCGGATTTAACAAGAGTTGACGGTAGTTGCGTTGAATACTTCCAATGTTGAATAAATTATAAATTTGATGTTCTTAAGAACTTATTATGGAGGTGAATATACAATAAATGCTTAAACTGTTTAAAAAGTAATCATCTTATAATGATAAGTCATTTTCATTGAATCTAGTATTGTTATAAGATTTATAGATGATATAGACACATTGATTTCGCAATCTCGGTATATGGAAGTCTTATGATAACTCAAAATAGGATTCTAACTTTTGCAATTCGAGGGTGCAAGTGCAAGGTGTTAACTTGGATGGGGAAACATCTTTTTAGATTTCATAACCGTATAGACATGCAGCTACTAATTCGCTACATATGGAAACCATTATCAAGCGTTACACTATGACTTCTGTTACCATGCTGGCAATAAGATAGCGACTGTTTATTACTTCAAATTTTCGTGTTTTCCACCATCTTTAATAATCTGTCATTACTTTGATGTCATGACTACAGCGATTCTCCAACCCAAAATGACAACTTAGGTTTCTTTTTCACTTCTAGTTTCCTGATGAAGAACACCATGGTAGTATGTTCTTTTGATTGATCTACGGGAATGCTATTTGAGGAGCACGGCTGAAAGTGAAAACCAATAAGTACTAGGTATAATGCTGAATAAATTTCTGCCTGAAATTGCCTTGATCACTCTTTAAGATAGAAGAAAGAGATGGAATATCTGTGTCTTCTATGCAACTTTGTGCTATATGCTTTTATGTAGTTTTCCGTTCATCTTATTTTATCTTCCATCTACTGCCCTTCAGTATTTTAAGTATTTGAAGGTTAACTAAATCAGTGTACTTCAGATCCATTTTCTTTTAATATTGTTATTGCATGACTTATTTATCAATGACATTCGCCTTGGCAGGAGGAAGATTCAAGAATGGAGCGGGATGTTCATGAGAAGTTAAACTTTACCGAAGAAATATTGAGTGCTACGTCATTGTCTCGGCAGTTGGCAGAACAAATGACACTTGCCAAAGCTTATGTCATAATTGCCAAAGAACACAATAACTTCTACCTTGCCTGGGAGCTAACCTCGATGATTCGGAGTTGCCAGCTTTTGCTTTCTAAAGCTGCAATGAGAGGGAGGCCCATTACACTGGAGGAAGCTGAGCCGATAATTACCCGTCTATCATCTCTAATATATAAGGCTCAAGATGCTCATTATGACATTGCAACTATGATAGTGACAATGAAATCTCATATTCAAGCCCTTGAAGAACGAGCCAATTCCGCGACTGCTCAGAGTACGGTTTTTGGACAATTGGTTGCTGAGGCATTTCCTAAGAGTCTTCACTGCCTAATTCTCAAGCTTTCCGCTGATTGGTTTAAAAGGCTGACCCTTCAAGACCTCGCAAATGAGCGAAGAAACTCTCCTCGACTCGTGGACAACAATCTCTATCATTTCTGTGTATTTTCGGACAATGTCCTTGCTACCTCTGTTGTCGTCAATTCTACGATTTCCAATGCCGATCATTCTAAACAGATGGTTTTCCACATTGTCACTAATGGGGTTGCCTATGGAGCTATGCAAGCTTGGTTCCTCAGTAATGACTTCAAGGGGGCCATGATAGAGGTGCAGAACATCGAGGAGTTTTCTTGGTTGAATGTTTCTTATGCTCCCATCGTGAAGAAGCTACTCGATGTTGATTCACGGACCTATTATTTTGGGGAAAATCCAGATGTTGAGCCGAGATTGCGGAACCCTAATTATATTGCCTTGTTGAATCACCTTCGGTTTTACATACCAGAGATCTATCCACAACTTGAGAAGATAGTATTCCTTGATGATGATGTTGTGCAGAAGGATCTAACACCACTTTTCTCGCTGGATTTGCACGGGAATGTAAACGGGGCTGTGGAGACTTGTCTCGAAGCCTATCATCGTTATTACAGGTATCTGAATTTCTCGAATCCGATCATCAGCTCGAAATTTGATCCGCAAGCATGTGGATGGGCATTTGGCATGAATGTTTTTGATCTAGTTGCCTGGAGGAAAGCGAATGTCACTGCAAGATACCATTACTGGCAGGAGCAAAACGCCAATAAGACACTCTGGAAACTCGGAACACTTCCGGTCGGTCTTTTAGCTTTTTATGGCCTGACAGAACCACTTGATCGGAGATGGCATGTGTTAGGATTAGGTTACGATCTTAACATCGACAGCCGCCTGATCGAGAGCGCAGCAGTCATTCACTTCAACGGGAACATGAAGCCATGGCTAAAACTGGCCATCGGAAGGTATAAGCCTCTATGGGAAAGCTACATAAATCTTAGCCACCCATATATCCAAGGTTGTGCCACAAGTTAGAAAAAAACCGTGCTCGTTTTGGTTCCGACCGCTTGTAGTTTATGTGACCTCTGACGATATGAACCCATTGAAAGGCCAGTCGCGGGAGTTTTTTGACATTGTTAGGAGATTTGACATATCCATTTTGTTGTTCATCATAGTATGCTGAGCGGATAAAAGGAAAGGTTTTCTTATGCATCGGAAAGAAGTCTGAAAGGTGAAAGATTTGTGGGAACATTCATTTTTGGTTGATGGGGTTTTGTTAATCCCCTCAAGCAAGAAAAAATTCAGGATTTTATAAAAAAAAAATTTACAAATTATTGTAATAATCTATTTGTTCTTCTTTGGACATCATCTATATATTTATTGTAAGCTGAATCTCCCTGTAAACATGAAGAAGTTTTATATTCTTTTATATTGCTGAAGTTTAGAAGTTAAATTACAGCACTCGGTTTTATTCTGTGAATATTTTTAGATTTTTTATGTTTAATTTCAATTATCTATTTTCATTCATCCGAACTTAGTCCGAGCATTACATCTTTTCATCGACATCTCATTTGATACGAGTTTAGGGATGTTTCAATTGATTCAAAATCTGATTTGATTTTGACACTAAAAATGTATATTTGATCTGACTCGATATATATATAATTTTTATTTTTATTAGGTAAATAGAGATCTAATTAAAAAATACAGAGAAATGAGTATTATTATTATTATTATTATTTTCTTTAAATATATAAGAGATAATTACATTGTTTTGTCAAAAAAAATTACCCTAAATTTGAATCAAATCTGACCCAAATATATATATATATATATATTTAAAAACCGATCCTATAAAATTAAGTCACGTCAAAATCCATGAGTCTGAACTAAATGTCCATTTTATATACACAGAAGAGATTTATTTATATACACAAATGAGTTTTATATATTTTATAAATTAATATATGATTAATATTTTACTGATTCACATTTTAATAACTCAATCATTAAATTTTAATATACACTTATAAAATTACATAATTGTAACAAATTAAATATATAAATAAAAAATTCAAGGAAAAAAACAAATTTAAGTTTTAATGAAACAATACGATTAAATAAATTATTCGAACAAAATATTAAGAAACTCAAATTAAACTTAAAAAACTGAACAAAACTACCTGAACTAATGGGAGAATCCCATATGGCAATAAACCCAAACAGCTAAAAAGGCATATTAATTGCTTACTTTAATGGGAGAATCCCATGTGGCAGTCTCTAATTCTCCATCTTCACTGGCTAAAGCACGAAACATTCCGGCAGTATTGTACACCGCCGCGATTTCCCCGGTTGACGATACCGAAACCAAACCGGCCATGCTCGGCGGAACTTGCTCTATAACATAAGCCGCTGCTTCTTTGAGCGGAAGACCTTTGAACTCCATCACGGCGGCTGCATCCCTCGCGACAGTGCCACGGATCATGTCATTGCCTTTGCCGGTGGCGGAAACCGCGCAGATATGGTTGGCGTAAGTCCCTGTTCCGATTATCGGGGAGTCGCCGATCCGACCCTCCATTTTGTTCACTAGTCCACCCGTGGATGTTGCGGAAGCCAGGTTTCCTTCACTGTCGACTGCCACACATCCAACCGTGCCAATTTGGCTATCACCATTAGGAATTCTAGCAGAAGCATCGTTCGACTCTTTTTGAATTGGCTGAGTGTAATCAATCTGCGGATTTCAACAAAGATCTTCATACTCCTATCCAAATATATAGCGAATAACAAAATTCTACTCTACTTCAAAATCCGACTCTACTCAATTAAGAAAGGGTAAATTATATGTTTAGTAACTAAATTATCAGTTTTGATTTTTTAGTATCTAAACTTTTAATTTTTTTCAAAATCATACCTAAAATTTAGTTTTGTTTCATTTTAATACCCACCTTCAAAAACTTTACTTTTTGTTTCATTTTAGTATTCCGTTCTAAATTTAAAAAACCTGAAAGTTTAGATACTAAAACGGACCAAAATAGTTTATGCATTAAACGCATTAAGCTTTTAAAGACGGGCTATTAAAATGAAATGAAAAACTAAACTTTAGGCATTATTTTAAAAAAAATAAAAGTTTAGGTACTAAAATGGCTAGAATTGATAGTTTATATGCTGAATATGTAGTTTATCCTAAAAAAATTAACTTTAAATGTATTTTATCAAATTTAAATAGTATGGTCTTCGAACATTATAGAATATTTACAAAAAGGATAAATTACAAATTTGATAACTAAACTTTCATAAGATTTCTATTCTACTCGTCGTACTTTCAAATTTTTCAATTTGCTCATCAACTTTTAAATTGCTCTTATTTTGGTCACTCAATCATTAAATAGCTAATAGTGTTATGACATGACAATCTCTAAAAAAAAACGTCATTTTATATCCTACAAAAAAATAAGAATAAATTATAAGTTTGATAATTGAACTCTCATATAATTCCTATTTTACTTACAATACTTTCAAAATTTTCAATTTATTCACTCAACTTTATAGATTAAGTTTTTTTGTCACTATGTCGAGGTTAGACGAACGTATGGTGTAATAATATCAATATTAATAACAAATCATGTTAAGATAATATTAGCAACAAACCACGCTTACTACCTACCCAATTCTGCAGAAATTTTCGGCATTAAGATAATAATTTGACATTTTTAAACAAATTATTATATATTATATAAAACATCGCTACACTCCAACAACATTAATTTCCCATCTTTAATCTAAGAGCTCAAATTCCAACGTACTTGGGTCTTTTAAACTGTATTTAGACATACTAAAGTATTTGGGTAAAAATTATAAACATATTAATATTTACAAAAAAGAAATTCCCAAACACATTTGATTGACCGAGTCTATATCATGTTTTATTGTCTAAAAGTTATATTGATTTTTATTAGAATTTAATTACTTCAGAAAATTAAACTTAATCTATGTTTTAAGCAATAACAAACTATTTCCACATTCTTTTTATAACTTTAATTCGTCAATTTTGAAATTAAGAGACATACACGTTGATAAATTTATGTGTATAATATTTATAATAATTACTTTGTGAGATGATAATAACATTAGTTGCTAGTCATTAATTGAAAGAAAATATCATATAAAAAAGTTTATCAACTTGTCAATGATGCTTACATCGATTTTTTTCCTGTTCTCAGCAACTGGGTGTCAGTTCCGGTTGTCCTTCAAAATATGATTTCTCCGCATCCAAAACACCCTGAACGAACAAGAATTTTGTTTTCAATCTATATAAAAGTAGTTAATTAAATTAAATCCACTGGTTTTGAGAGTAGAACCTGTATAATTATGATGGCTGCATCCTTGTTTATGAGCTCATTATACTCGTGGCAAGCCAGATTCTGATATAGATAAATACCAATAAATATTATAGCATCCTCGTAAGTTTTTTTCATATGTTTGAAAGATCATGCCGAGGGGAAAGCCGATACTTGACTCGAATAGCTCGTGAGCATGATCAAGCTTAAACTCAATCGAGCTTAATCGGTAAACAAGTTCGAACAACTCGATTTTTATCTAAAATCAAGATTGAACTTTGAAAGTGAAACTCAATCAAACTTGAACCGAACTTCAAACCTCATATTTCAAGTGGAGCAAATAAAAGTGGTTAGACCAAAAACGGGGGGGCAACTACCGAGGATTAAGCCAAACCTGTACACAATTTGGGCAACCAGTTTCGGAGGAACAGTGGCAGCATGTGAGAAGTTCCAAAGCGGAATGCAAAAGCTCTGTGAAATATGGTTGGATCTGTTGCATATTCGAATGTTTACACGTTACAAATACTCAAAACTCGAATTTTGCTCGAAAATAATTGAACTAATCAAGCAGGCATAAACTTCCATAAAACTTGCAATTCCATCAAAATCATACAATTTGCTTTATCCCAATCATTTGCAGGTCTATGATGATGAAGTTTGAAATTGCATCAAATAGAAAGGAGCGTATGCCTTAACGTGATATTTTATAATGGCTGGCCGATACAAAATCTATTAGCAAAAGCTGAAGAGGCCCTTGCTTAAATGAGCAATAACATGGTTATAGAATTTCTAGGACCAAATACCAATTCTAATTATTCAACTCTTTTAATATATTTTTGAAAATAAAATTATTTCGAATTCCAATTCCAGGTAACACTCATTCACAAGCTTCAAAGTCTTCAAGCAAAAATTTAGATCCAAAGCTTTTAGGTAGGACTGTCAAGTAAGACTTAAGCATTTGATTACCTGTTTCGAGACACCAGTACCTCCAGGATGCTGATCATACAATAGAATTCTCTCGGGAAAGAAGCGATTATCGTAAGGATTAGGACATTCTGGAGCCAAGTCAGATAAATTGCATCTCATATATCTAGACGTCAGGAAATTATTAAAAAAAAAAAAGTCAGGCACGGTACCACCCATTACCATGAGATAAAAGATAAAAAAAAAACACCAATATATATTGTCTGTTTGTAGAAAAGTCCCAAAAAGTTGAAATGGAACTTTCCAGAGCCCAACATTTTTTACATGAAGACTTTGATATTGAAAATATCTTACATGTAAAGTACTTACAATGGCACAACATGTAAAACAGCGTGACAAGCAGCATGCAGACCTGCACGAAATGAGTACTTCTTCTCGACTACTACTTTTAAGGAATGTGGAACACTAATCCAAACGGCCTGCAGAACGTGAATTGAGATAGATCAGGCACACTAGTTATCCTTTTTTTTTTGATAAGAATTGCAGGCCTCATTAAAAAACCCCTTCTTGATTAATGGAGCTCATAGGAAGGCACACTAGTTATCACACACAGTCCAACATATATAAACCTAGAAAAGATTGTCAAAGAACAAACTGAAATAAAAAATTGTTAATACTGATCCGAACAGCACCTGTGATTCATATGAATATTTAGGCAGAGAAAGATCAACAGTGTCTAACACTTGGTTGCTCCCTCTACGTATTCGGCGGAAGCCAAACCATGTAGTTGTCACACTGCAAGGATTTGCTTGAGCTGTTGTTCTTGGGAGCTGATCCTTTGGGACCTGGGCTGGATAGGCCTAAGCAAAACAAGGATAAAAAGCAGGTGAACCTTTTGCATATCAAGTTCCAGAAAGTAAAAAAGAGGGCATATGATAGCAAAATGTATAGTTCCAATTCATTTGAATTATATATCAGACATGAAAAGTATCTTCAATTATTAAAGATTGTTTTTCATTGCAATTTAGTTTCTAATCTATTTATAACTAATCTATAGACATTTTCTAAATTTATGAAACCAAGAGGCTAAGAAAAGAGGAGACAAAACCATCTTCGAACATCTTACTGGAAACACAAAGTTCAACAGTGAGCACCTTAATAATTTGATAGAAAAATACGACATCTCTAGGTCAGCTAATTTTCAACATATTTAGTAGTCTAACTTACAATTTTACCACCAACAATATGTATGTCTGTATAATCCCGAGTCTTTGTGTAATAGTCCACAACAGCTTTTTCGCAATAAGCAATTTTTTTTGATAAATCCAAATCCTTTACCAGATAGGTTCTCCCTTGGTGCATGTAAATAGCACCATCGTATACCTGTATCATATAGTAACAATTATAAAAGAAACCCAAAAAGGTAGAGAATAACAAATTCACGCTATATACATGTAGAAGGAATTAGGAAAAGCAATGACTTCTGGCAAAAGAGAACCACACAAGACACTAATGAATAGGCTTTTTTTAATAAATAGAGTACGTAATAAATACAAGATTCAAGGTACACCAGAATTGACATATAAAAGGGGAGAAAATAGACAGAAAAACAGAAAAAGAAGTGTGGACAGGCAAATGAAAGGACTACGCAAAAAATAGAGGAATCTCGGGATAAGAAAGAAATGAGAAATAAGAGAGGCCAATTTCTTTAACAACAATTCTCAATAGCTGAACTCATCATCAATATAAATTAGTGAAGACTCAAAATATTGAAAGCATACATAAGCTACTTCCTTACCAAGTACAGGGTAAATAAATAAAGCCCAACTGGTTGGAATAACTTAAAATATGTAAATTATAACTGATACTTAAATATATAATTAATAAAATAAAAATCTCCAAATATTTTCTTTCATGAAGTTTTAGAGAAAATTTCTCAAATATTTTAATCCTTAAATAAGTTTGATCTTGTCATGCATCAAGAAGTTACACCTGAAAGAAAGCTCTGCTTTCCTCAATCTCTTCAAGGGTTTCATTTGATTGTGTTTCTATTACCACATATCTTTCTGCCTCTATTGCTCGTATACTGATTGAACGTGAAGGCCTTTTCTGAAAGGAAAGGGTGTAAGAAAATATTTAGTCATCAGAAGTAAGAAGTAAACAAGCTATCAAACCTGAACATAAATATGTTACCTCGTGCCCAATGTAACTCCATACTTTAGCCAAAGAGTCATTTGAATGACTAGAAATCAAGTATCCTCTACATTTAAGAGCCGTTATAGCACTGCTCAGACCAGGCCCGAAATATTTTTCATCATAAAGCAAACTCAATGGGTGTTCAAGAGCTGCACAAACTAGATGCTGTTCAAGCACCTGAATGAATAGAGCATCTTAGCATTGATTTAAATATTTGCAGAAAACTCACATAAATTGATCTAGAGGATATGTCAATAATTGAAAATATAATACCTGCTGGTTTTGAGCATCAATATGACAACACTCAACCGGACTACGGAATAGTTTCTGAGGGAATTTCATAAAGTATTGATCGAGAGGCCCTTCAAATGCAACATACACGGCAAGAGATGGCCTTTCTCTTCTGCCAGATCTACCAGCCTGTTGCCATAGGCTAAATTCAGAAAAGAAAACACCCCAATTATGAATTGTGAAAATAATACTTGTACAAAACGAATGATGATGAATTAGCATCATACCTTGCAATACTACCAGGGAAGCCTAAATGCAGAGTCACATCAATATGTCCAATATCAATTCCTAATTCAAGTGCATTTGTTGCAGCAATACCACAAAGCTTTCCACTAAAAAAATCGCTCTCTATTCTCCTCCTATCCTGTTCTACAGTCGACAGATATTAAAATAAAGAGATTGATAGGCTGGAGATACGTTTTGCACATTTTTTTAACTCATGTTTTCAAGCAAAACCCAAAATGAAACCATTTTCTAATTTGGTTATTAACAAACTAGCGAAATAAAACACATTTGATAAGAAGAATTAACAACGGGGTGTGCATTAAACAACATAATTATGAAAACTAGAAAACTATTCCATCATAAACTTATAGCTCTCACCAATATTTAATGAATCAACAAGTCAGACCTAAGACGGCGAACAATGTTAGGCCAAAGACATATGAATTTATGATGTAAAAGGAAAGAAAATGTAGCAAACATAAAACCGAATTCACATAAGAAATGATTGTAAAACAGGCATACCACCAACATCATTGTCAAATTTTGTTGATAAAAATTAGCATAAAAATAAAACTGACCTCGGCAACATATCCAGCACGGTAGGCACATATGGAATTGACAAGGTGGGGAGCCACCTCTTCAAGAATTTCACGCCTGATACAGTAATTGATATGAATAAAGTTATACACCATTTTCTTGCATAGTATAAATGCTTGAAGAAGAACTAGTATATGATTGAATCATGATGTGATACATACGTATAACACAAAACTAGCTCACAAAGTTTACGCGATTTACAGAAAGCAATACATCGATGTCCATGCTGAACCATTTCCGCAAAAAGGTGTGAAACTTCTGATATAGGGCTGAGAAGCAAGAAAGTGAAACACCATTATAATATGCCTAATGAATAACAACTTATGACCCCTAAACTTCTTTTCAAGGAAGGGAGAAGATTATTATCATCATACCTCAAACTCTTATCAGTAGCTTTTCTTCCATCTATGCCATACTCACTTTTATCTAGCTCCTGTAATTGAACGGTGTCAGTTGGTGTATATTATAACCTACTCAAGCAAAGCAATGGATAAGTAGAAAAGAAAATGATATTAGCAAAAGACTCACGGTTCTCAGAGGTAAAGCAGGATTCCAGAGAACAAAAAGTTTCTCTGACGAAGGACTCCCATCATTTTCAATCAGCTCCAATGTTGACAGATTCGCAAGTTCCTGAAGCAACACAAAAATTATTCCAATTCAGTAAACAAATATAAAAGTTACATATTATGCTGATCCAATTTAGTAACTGAAACCTAAAGATAGATAATGTAAAATGCAAATCAAAGTGCTAGAAAGTGAAAATAGAAAATATTTTCAGAATCCAAAAACTCAGGCCAGATTATCGGGCAAGCTACAGACAAAAAACTCTTGCAAAGTAATTCAACCAGAAAATAGTCACCCTTCAATTGTATGGTGGTTCTTTTCCTGAAAGAAGCAGAAAATAGATATCTCGGAAAGAAATGGATGTGGTATGTTGGTCTTAAGCACCAACACACCATCATAACAGAATACATGCAGTGATTGAAATAAAAGCAAACAAAGAGACTACACTTTAAGAATCTTACCATACAGTGCTCACAAGGATTTGCAGAAGTTGCCGTACAGAAAACAAAAGAAGGATCACTTCCGTACACTACACAATCCATTTCATCAAGTCAGGGAGGAAGGATATATATGACAATAGGAATTCCTAAATTTCCTTTTTATTACCATGAGAGCAAAGCCTTCGGAGTCTTCTTAGTATAAGGGCAGTATGGCATCCAAATGCTCCCTTATAAGCATGAGCTTCATCAATCACTACAAAACTTCTCGACAAGAAGATAGGTAGAATTTGGTTATGAAAAAGAAATAATTATGAATATCACATCTAAAATGGAAACGATTTGAATCAAGATACTGAGTTAACAGAAATAACTACACTCAACCAGTCCATAACTAGTGAGAGTAAAGAATTTTTTTTAATGAATCTCACCTAAGATTTGATAATATTCGACTAAATTGTCTATGCAATGGCAGGATTGCCATGTGTAACATATCGGGATTTGTGATCAACTGCATGCAAAATGGCAAGGACTTCAGATAAAGGATAGCCAAATGACAACCGGGTGGAAGGGATAGGAAAATCTAACTCTACATTTGAGACATCCGACACTTTAGCTAATATACCAATCGAGCATTTTCACGAAGCCATGTCCTTTCTTTCTGAGAAGTGTCGCCATCATATACCCCAATATTAATGCTACAATCAAATCCACATGTTATAGTTAACAAAGCTCTTAGTTGATCTTGAGCTAAAGCCTGCATCAGAGAAAAAAAATGTCTGACAGAGATAATGCCCAAGAGCCTTACTCATAAAATTGAAAAGCCTAACAACAACAAACCTTTGTGGGAAACAAGTAAAGTGCACATGATGACAAATTATGAGACAATGCCTCCAAAACTGGCAGATTATAACAAACAGATTTCCCACTAGACGTCATTGTTGCTACAACAACATTCTTCCCTGAAAGAGATGCCAATATTGACTCTGCCTGTAAAGACAGTAAGGGCTCAGACAAATACACAATCTTGCCTTTAAAAGGAGGGCAGTATCGGAAATAAGCCATACCTGGTGGCTGTACAATTTATTGATTCCTATTTTTTTAAGGGCGGTTGTTGAGTTGTCTGAAAGTTCAATAGGTATTTCCACATAGGAAGCTTTTCTAGCACCTATTTTCTCGACATGCACCATCTGCATCAGTCATGCATCAAGAGTCAATCAGGAGAATTCTTACAAGTAAGACATGATAAAATGCTAGCATATTAGGTCAATTAGACAGTGAGGCCTAAGAAATGTGCATAATCCCAATGGAGTTTTTGAGAAAATAATTCCAGTATATTTGCACAGCAGCCTTCCTACAAGCTTCTATGAAATTCAATGGGATAAATATTTCTTTCGAGAACACAAAATTCAGAGAAAACCTGTCCATATGATCCAATGCCCATTCTAAGGTGCTCAACCATTTCTGATGGTAGTAATTGACTTGTGTCCTGCTAAGTCAAGAAGGTATTATGATGACGTATGTCCCATTAACTTCAGAAGCTATTTTAGAATATTAATAACATAAAGGTCAAAGACAGCCCAAAAGCAAACAAATGTTGTTCTATTCACAGCATAAAGAATTCGCCAACCCTAACTAATAATAACATATAATGCTTAAGAAACATATGGGCTAAATAAACTATAAAGTCAAACAGCATAAATAAAGGTTATCAATATGTAAATTAAATATTCTATGCACAGTTTAAACCCTGATATGGCATTAAAATATTATTTCACTAGGCTCAAATGTTAATTTTTTTTCTTTTTTACATATATGTTGTTATGCAAAGATAATATATGGATCTTGAAAGGGGGCACAACCATGTATCAAGTGTAAATTGGCACATACATGACATCGTCTTTTGACTGATTGAGAATTTGAATCAGAGGACCTGCTTCTCTTTGCCCGTTTTGCATCATCTCTTTCCAAAAGATAACCACCTTCCTTTACAAATAAGAGCAAATCCCCTAAGGAAAATGATAGTAGATTCTCGTCATTCTGTTTAGACTGCATGAACCAAAGATTTCAGCAATTAATAATAATAATAATAATAATTTTTAAAAAGTAGTATTAAATGCCTACAGCTGGCAGTATGCTTTACAAAAGAATAAAATAATGCAGGGCAGCCAAGAAACAGGAAGGAGCTAACCAATAATCAAAAAGTACTACAATACTATCCAGAGCCAAAAAACGATATTTTCCCCAATGGTTGTAAAAAAAAACACGAGCAGATAAATATGGAAAGGCTTGTGCACTTATGGAAACAATAACACTTTTCACACAGAAAAGTAAGGAGAGGGAAAAAATACTCATCAAAACAATTCAATAAACATGTCCTTGTAGATTCCAAACTTACTAAGAACCACTAGAATCTTGATGTAGGAATATGCTTTCTGAAAACAGATAAGCAAAATCAGAATTGGAAGCAGTTAATAGTACCATTAACAATTTGATAGTCTCCCACAAGCTAGTTTTGAATGATCTTTCCCATTTCTTCATTAAGCTAAAAATCTTTGAAAGGGATGTACATGTTTTACCTGTAAACAAAGAAGGTAGAAAAGTCCAAGAAGTTTTACTGGCATGGAAGCTTATCTAAAATTAACTAAATGAAATGGAAGCAAATGTATTTATCTTCAATAATACCAGCTCCAAGCTTGCTCTCAAAATTTTCTCCCTCCTTTGTTGAAGAATGGGTGATAACCAGAGCATGACCAAAATTTTTAGGCTCCTTATCATTTTTTACAAAACACACCACCTGAAATAGGCACAATCAAATACTTCATTCTGCATATGAAATATAAAATAGAGGCCCTAAACGAGCACTAATTGACAGGTGAAAACCAAAAGAGCTTCAAGAACATCGTCACAGCAGGTTAAGGGACAAAATTGAATTAAATAAGTTAAATATTATGAAATAACGCTACAACTTTGAAAACAACAAAAACAACCAGAGAAAGCTAGGTTGAAAAGGATTTGTGATGTAAAGCACACAAGAAGAATTTTGCAGTAAAGCATTTTATGGAATAAGATCTGGCAAAATTGTGGAGAGATCACAGATAAAACTCAAGACTTGACATTAGATTTCATGACTACTTGCCCCAGTTGTTGGTTTACAGTTAAAAAAGAACAAGGAAGCCAAACATAGAGTTAAAATGCACTAACTGCTTAAGGAAGCATCATAGAAAGAACACTGCATGACACAAAAGTGGGATCCATATACAAAGACCCCTCAAAGATAATGTGCATGAAACTAAAAGCATATTTCTAAAGTTGTCACGAAGCAAAACTTAAGTCACTAACATAGAACGCTAATATACTGACTTTATATCGGCGAGAAACTTAACCAACAGGAGGCTTATATAATCTTAGAGAGAAACAAACCTTGGGACAAATATCAGAAAGATGCTCTATGTCCTCCATACAAATCAAAACTCCAAATTTCTCTAATCGCTCCAGAACTTGCTTCAAACAACTTGTAGTCATCCTCTCTGTTTGCAACTGAAAAAATGCCGACAAAATGCTTAAAAAAGCAAATGCCTCCATGATTCTCTTCAACCAGTCAGGACACAAACACGAACCATGATCATCAATGATCCGGAGTTTGGCCTCACTTAACAACATACATTTCCCTGAATACGGACTGGACAAACAATTCATGGAATGTAAAACCTCAACAAACTTCTCACAATTCTTCTCCTCAAACAAATCCCTATCCAAAGACCGCAATACATTCCACAAAAATTCATAAGGATGACCCTCTTTACTCTGAACCTTATCAACATTCTCTCCTTGTTTTCTTCCACTTTTGGAACAATCATCATTACGGTGACCATTAGGACTACAATTATCACCTTCACTAAAATTCCCTGTATAATCGCGTAAAGATGAGAATTCTTGCATCATATCAGAATAAGTGGAGTCCGCAAAGCTCGTGGCAGTGCTTGCATCGTTGGAAAAACTAGGGTTTTCAAGTCGAGGCTTGTTTTTCTTAGCAAATGGAATCAAAACAAAGAATTCACCAGGCAGAGAGGCGAGGCTACTCACTTTGCATTGCAAGTTCAATTTAGTACCCTGAAAACCCAAAAAGTACAGAAATAATTGAAATTAAATGTATAGCGAGAATAGGAAAATGCTGATTCGTTCATTCTTCGTACCTTGAAAAATAGGTGGAAATTGGGAGATAAAGTGGCGGGAGGGAAAGATAGTTTCAAGAGAAGCTTTAGATCGTTAATTGTTGTTTCTGGAGACACGGTAACGGCGGTGGATTGACCGGTCAGTGTACGGACTTCTATTTGCTTCTCCGCCATGAAAAATTTTGAATTAATTTTTTCATTCTTTCACTCGCGAACAGATAGGGAGTTGCGGCATTATATAGCGCGGAAGATAGGGCAGCCTAAGCGATTTGGCGGGGAGTTTAGTTTTGGCATAAATATACGTTTGCCCCTGAATTTCTATTTTTTTATATTAGTTCCTAAATTGTTATCTCATATCGACCCCTGAACTTGTAATCCATTTGATTAATTAGCCCTTTTCTTATAAGGCCGTTTGTTTTAATGTCGTGACATACTTAACTAATTGGGAAATGTCACTGAACTTTTAAATTGTTTGCACTTTAGTCTCTAAAATTGAAAAGATTTAATCATTGTCATTGAGGAATATTTTCATTTTGACCACTTCATCGTTATATAATTAACATTAATTGAATCAACATACTTATATATTCAATCATTTTTCTTCATAAGAACAACATAATTTCTATTATTTGTAAGTTGATTTGACTATGTTTAATATTCATTTGAGATCAAGCAAATAATTATTTGATCCAAGGAGTATGTAGTTAAGATTGTGGTTGAACTTAATGGTACGATGGAGCTAGTAATATGAAGGGTGAACTTAATGGTCTCAAAACTCTAATCATGAGAGAAACACAATATGCAGACTACATGCATTGTTTTGCTCACCAACTTCAATTAACTCTTGTTGTCGTTTCTAAGAAAAATAAAGATTGTGGTTGGCTTTTTGATACACTTGGAGATTTGTTGAATGTTATTGGATCATCATGTAGGCGAAAAGATTTGCTTAAAGGAAAACAAGCTGAAAAAATTTCAAAAGCCTTTGAAAATGGTGAGATTGTGATTGGAAAATGTTTAAACCAAGAGCTTGGTTTAGGTAGGACGGGTGATACATGTTGGGGTCTCATTATAAGTTGATTTTGAATGTGATTGATTTGTATTCTACAATATGTGAGGTGCTTGATTTGATTGGTAACGATGCTTGAAATGGTGATGATGCTCGAACAACCGATAATGTGAGTTTTGCAATAGAGTCATTTGATTTCATTTTCATGATTCACTTGATGAAGAGAATTTTGGGATTATGAATGAATTAAACAAAGCTTTACAGAGAAAAGATCAAGATATTGTCAATGCCATGTCACTTGTTACTTTAACAAAAGAAAGATTGCAAAATATGAGGGAAAACGAGTAGAAGTCATTTTTTGCTACAATCACTTCATTTTGTAACAAGAATGACATTGGTATTCTTAATATGGATGTTGTGTATACTCCTCCAGGGAAAAAGAAACGTTGTCATTTGGATACTACTAATATTCATCATTTTCGATTGAAGTGTTCTTGAGAGTTATTGATCTTCAGCTTCAAGAGTTAAACAACCGATTTGATGAGGTTAGTATATAGTTATTGACGTGTGTGTCTTCTGAGTCCACTTGATAATTTTTTTTCTTTTGACAAACAAAAGATACTTAGACTTGATGAATTATATCCCGATGAATTTACAAGTGTTGATTGACTAGCCCTTGATGATCAACTTGATAATTATATTGTTGATATGCGGAGGGATGATAGATTTTGGGTATTGAAAGATATGGGTGAACTTTCCATGAAGTTTGTCGAGACAAAGAAGCATCAAGTGTACCAACAAGTCTATTTGCTCAAAAAGTTGGTATTGATTCTCCCCGTAGCAATTGTAAGTGTGGAAAGAACATTTTTTTTAAATGAACATCGTGAAGAATAAGTTGCGAAATAGCATATGTGATCAATTTCTAAATGATTGTTTGGTGGGTATCTATTTATGAATATAGTTTAATTCTTTCATATTAATTTCATATTAATTTGTGCCATTTTAAATGAAGAAATTCTAATTTGATCGAGATTTCACAGATACAACCTGATTAAGACATAATTGTTTCAAATCCGAATGGTTCTGTCAATTAAATCAAACTGACTGCAATCAAGCATTAGCAAATCTAATGCAACTAACTTTATAGAAGCAAAATACTTAACCTATGGTAATTAGCTTTGGGTGTCGCTGTCTAATGCATGCATTTGTCCGGGACAGTTATTTTCAGTTTCTCAGAACTTTTCATTTATGTAAAGGATCATGTCTATATCCTTGTCTGAATATGCATCATATGTGGTTAATGAAGAATCAGGGCTGCATATCTGAGAACTGAATGCTGCTTTTTCTCATTAGTTGTAAGTAAGCACAAGCTATGTTATTCTGACTCTTTATTTTCTTGAAGTACTCGTGTCTTACCCATGTCCGACGTTATTCAAACATGGGTTCCCAGAAGAAATTTCATTTGTCCTTTATTTTCTGCTCGTCACAGTCACTTCACAAGGTACTGCTATTATACCCTTGTTTCTCTGCTGAATTCACTTCATTAATTTAACTTTGAGAACTACTTTCTTCTTTTTCCTATAGGCTATAGCATGCACGTCTCAGGCCACCATTCTTAGTATTTCATTTAAACTTGTGTTGTTCCAATTTTTCATTTTTGTTTAAGTACCCGTGCCCTACGCATACATGAACATAGGTATATGGATAAGGATTGGCCTTTACATGGAAAAAAAAATAAAATTGAACATGCCCATATCTTACACTCACATCCAAATTCAAGTAACATAGATTTGAAGTAGTATTCAGTTTGCTTGATCCATGAGTATGGGGTGGTAACATCAGGCAATGAAAAATGTTTAATGTGGTATTTGAAGCTAGTTTGGGAAGGACTGAGTCTTGGAGAAAGAATTGCAGTTGGAGACTGGTGCAGGTATGTTTCTGCTGTTCAGTAAAGAGTATTATAATGCAGGGGCAATGGTAGAGACATCCATATGTACGAGAATATGACCTCCAAGCATAGTACAAATATTTGAAATAAAAAAATTGAAACTATCCATATTTTACTCTCACCAGTCCAGGTACCATAGATATAATAAGAAATCCATATTTTACTCTCACCAGTCCAGGTACCATAGATATAATAAGAAATCATATCCTTATTTAACATTCCCTATGTTGGCAACCTATGTTACTTGGACCAGAGGGTGAGTGTCGGATACGGGCAAACTAGATTCTTCCCAAGTTTCTTTTATATATATTTAGAGAATCTTTTCTCCATACCCATGTTATACTGTGTTGGATAGAGAAACTGATTTGTTTTTTTTTCTCAACAAGATACCTAAATACAAAACTACGCATTGTTGATTATTTTGGGTACCAAAAAAAATTCAGGAACGATGGCGTTTGGGTAGGCCACATGCTGTCCGGGTATTCTCTGATGATGGAAGACCCTGGAGAATCAAAAGCACCAACGAATTCAGTGATAGTCGGTGGAACTTGGAGAGAAACAATCAGAGTTGCATATGAGACCACCAAATTGGCTTTCCCTGGAGCAGAAGTTCTGGCACATCTTGATCACAAGTTAGTTAACGTCCAAATTCTTTTTTAGCTTGAACTCTCTGTGCTGAAATCCTTATGCGACATGCATTCGGATATACATATGAGAATATGACCCTCTAAAAGTAAAAACCCTCCAAATACGTAAAAAACTTCAAAAATATATATTAATATACTAAATACTGTTACTTTTTTGCGGATTCAGGAGTTTCAAGAGCTGGCAAGGAAGTGCCATTACAGGGTTCTTAGCAGAACAGAACATAAAGATCGGCAAACCGAGGATTCAGGAGTTTCAAGAGCTGGCAAGGAAGTGCCATTACAGGGTTCTTAGCAGAACAGAACATAAAGATCGGCAAACCGAGTGACTTCTGTCATTGTTAAATGCTGTCTATTGCTTATTCTTGTAACTAAACATTACTTGAAGTGTGGCGATACCCTCCTATGTATGTTTTAACTAATTTCAGGTGACCTGGTTGAGCTCATAATTGTTGAGCTCCTGACTGCACAAAAGCTCTGGTGAAAGCCCAAGAAGGTTGGCCCCAATTTGGCAAACCAAAATTGACTCAACGATTGCATACATCAAAGTCAATGACGCAAATCTAACGAGACCACAAAGCAAGGAGCCAGTCAAAGGACCCCATCACCTGTGCCAACCTTGGAGGTGTTAATTTTCAATCGCTAATCATGTCAAGGTAATTTTCTTGGGTCCATTTGTCAATGAATCTTTTGATTTGCTGGTGTCGGGGAGATATTTGAGCAATGAATTATATAATATTTTACTCATGGAGGTTGATATGGTAATTAAATGCCACCTATGTTCAACAATTAAATGGAGTTTGAGGGTTTAATTGCATGTAAAAGAATTAAGACTAACTGGTTTTTTAAAATCTGAGGGCTTTATACATGTCTTTCAATCTAATAAAAATTACACAAATACGATTTAATAGATGAATATTTCAAATTCTATTTAATGTGAATTAATGATACATCAATGTTACATAAATATAAAAATATAAATCCTTGGTTAGTCTTTCCTTTCGGTTATGAAACCATATAGCTAAAAAGAAAATTATTTATGAAATGACCATTCAGCTCAGTTGGTATCGTGGGATCGAGTCCCACGGAGGGTATTTTATAATTCGGATGTCTCCTACGGAAGTTGCTCTCAACCTGGTGTTGGGGGCAGCCTACTATCCTACCTCCCCTTACCCCATTATCTATGGGAATAAGAGTCAACTAATTTTTTATTGTTATATATCAAAGGATCATTAATGCAAATTAGAGTGCAATTAATTGAAACTCTAGAAAGAAAGAAAGAAAAAAACCTTAGTATGTATGGGTTAAGCATACGTAGTTGTCAGCCGGAAAACTTTGACTTGGCACCGGCCCCCCTATGCCTCTGTCAACGGCGGCATTTGGTGGTCCAGTAGTGGTCCAGCCTTATCCCTTGAGAGTTGAGTCACTTACTAATAGGCCAAGCACCCCCCCCCCCTTTTATATTTAGATTTTGTAGCCAAGGCAATCCCCTTCAAGGTTGTACCCTAAATCTATGTTCCTCGGGTTATAGTATGTGTGTTGAAGTGTTTATGACGAGTCTTGAAGATAAATAAATTTTAAAATTGAATCAAATCATAAATTTATGGTGTTGGTTTTCAAATCTCTAGATGAGGGGGACGCCTCTAAAGCTCAAACCTCTTGACCAAATGCCAATATGACCAAATGGACCATGTCAAAACTCACCTGATTTAACCCCCCTCCCCCTAAAAATTTAAGGCTTCAAAATGTGTCAAGTGCAATAATAAAATATATTTGAGAATCATAATTTAACTCATAAGTTTTCGGGTAAAGTACACAACTGGTCCACCGATAATAGAATATTGTTTTATTAAGTCCTTTGATTATTAAAAATTATAAAATTATCCTTCGACTCAGGTCCGGTCCTGACATTTTAAGGGCCCTAAGCCAGAAGATGATGACAATAATACAAGTGAGAGCTCATACCTAGATTTCTCCATCATTAAAATGGGGCTCCACTAAATTACTATATTTTCGAGTTTTTTAAATAAAAAATAATATTTAAAAATATTTTTTAATTATTGGGACCCACTAAATTACCATATTTTCAAGTATTTAAAATAAAAAAATATGTTTAAAATATTTTTTAATTATTAAACTTAAAAATAATTTTAAAAATGGCCTCCTCCAAGCTTGGGGCCCTAGGCGGTCACCCCCTGGCCTATGCCCAGGGTCGGCCATGCTTCGACTATGGAGTGTTTCTTTGTTGAGTCCCTTAACTATTGAAAGTTACAAAATGGTTACCCGACTATTCATTATGTATCAAACTCGTCATTCTTCGTTAAAAATGGATGGTATTCTGAGCTGAACGTTAACTTGTTGATTGCGATATGATAAAATATGATCTCATAATCTCAAACAACTATTATATCATGTTAACGTCTAGCTTAAACAACCGCCAATTTTAATGGAAAACGACAAGTTTGTAACATAATGATGAGTGATCATTTTGAAACCTTTAATAGTCGAGGGACTTAACAAAATAACAATCTATAGTCGGAGGATTATTTTATAAGCTTTAATAGTTAAAAGACTTAATAAAGTATGACTCTATAGTCGGGAGAACCTTTTGTGTATTTTACCTTAAGTTTTTATTGATAATGGGTTTTATTTAGTTCTGTCGAGGTCGAGTTTTGTCAATGATGAGGTTGAGTTTGGTCAAATTTGAGTTTAAAATGAAAATATTTGATCCGACTCGACAAAATAATATAATAGATTTAGAGATAATTATTAAGATATCCCTCTCTTTATCTTTTTTTCCAATTAGATCCTTATTTTATTAAATAAAAAAGAATATATATATATATATATATATATATTATATATATATAACATTCATTTTTATTCTAGATTTAGGGTTGATGAAATTTTTCTAAATTTAAATTATTTCGAACGTCGAGTGAAGGATATAATATTCAAATCAAATTTGGATCGATCAAAAAGTTTACCTGACTGTATTCATGGTCATCCTATGTATATTATATTTTTAAGGAAAAAAATTAAATTCAAATTTTAGAGATAATATTATTAAGGAATATAATTACTCTAAAATTGATCATAAACTAAATATGAAATACAAAACTGATATTCTGTCATATCGTTTTAATTTCATTCATTTACTATTTTTAATTTATATATATTATTTCTTATCCTGAGATATTGAACATATGAACTACTAATCAAAGAAATAATAACATTTCAAGGGTAGACAATTCAGTATGGCAAACTCGACTCGTAATTTATTATTTTTTATCTAGTTAAAATTAATTATAAAATAATATTTATTTTTTATATTATTAATTATTTAATAATAAATGTTTAATCACTTTTAATTATTGGTACTCGAATCCCTAAATATAATAATCATCTTTTTAACTCGGGTAATTTTGTTTGTGCAAAACTTAAAAATTAAAAAAAAAATAGGTGCTTAAAATATCAGAGGAGAATGGTGGGGAATACTCGTCACCATCACAATTCAAAATCAGAAATGACTCACATGGGGCGGTGAGACTTGACCCCATAGACCACATGCCTCTTGGACCCACCCCATCACCACCCTACTTGTAACCACCAGCACCACCCACCTATATTGGACCCCAAATTGCCACATCATCGTCATTATTGAAATTAAATATGACAATTTACATTTTATTTTTACAGTTTATTTTACGTTATAATATTATTTAAATAACTTATATGTATACTTGTAATAAATTAATAATTTGGATCATTAACTTCGACTCATGCATTCAAAATATTATTTAACAGTTTATTTTATTCTCGTTTTAGGTTGTCTATTTAAAAAAAAATAGCAAAAAGGAAAGTGTTTTGAACTGATTTGTTGGAAGTTGAAGTTTCATTTTTAATAGATGAATTTTCGTGATTAAAATGTTATAAACCATAATGTAATTGATTAAAATGTTAGTATTTTTCTGAAATTTAATGACCAGAAGTGAACACCTATCAAACAAAATGGAGCATTTAGATAATTTGCCCTTAGTAGTATTAAACGCCTCAACTATTAAAACAAACAGTTCAACTAACCGACTCTTGTCTCCCTCGGCGGCCGGGTACGGGAGAGTGTGTGAACCGACCTACCAGGTTAATCCACGTGGCCCAGTGCATTAATGGTATCCCACGTGTATTCCAGTTGCCACGTGGAATCACATTAACATTTTTTTAAGACATAAATGGCAATAGTCTATTATTGGGATAGTAGTGGGATTTTTTAGGAAGGGATGGAGTAGTGGTTATGCAGTACACTCGATTCTACATCGTCACCGTCCGTACATGTCCGTGAAGAAACTCTTGAATAAATCATTATTTTTTTAATAAATCATTATTTTTTTAATAAATCATTATATTTATGGTTAAGAAATCACTAAATTTTATGCGATAATATAACTAATTTTTTAATTATAATATTAAATTTTAGTTTTAATTTCAATTATATCATTAGACTATTAAAATTTAATAACACAATAACATTGACAGGTCTTTTTTCACTGTAATAATATGACCAAAAGAATATTATTTTGGTAACAATTAAATGTCTAAAATGATATCATTTTAAACACTACATTTTAGGATGTATCAATTCTGTAACTTAATTCTTAAATATTTTATTTTTTATCATTGTAGTTTTTAGTTATTGATTTCAGTCAATTACGATTCGTCATCCGTCATTTTTAGTAGTTGGATTGGCATTAAAATATTCACATTTTACTTTTGTTTTTTTCTCTAGGGATTGATTTTTTCATTTAATTTACTCAAAAATGATTAAAAATATTTTAAAAATTAATGTGCTAATATTATAGTCTCTTTCAATTATCACCCGACGATAATAATTTTGAGGCATGAACATTATAAAAATAACACATCTCACCGCTTGATTATACAAATAATTATCTCAAATCTTTTAAATCTAAGAAAATTCATCAACTATTAAAATAATAGATTTTTTATTTTGTTTTTATCGATTTTGGGCTTTTTTGTAAAAAAAAAAAATCAACCGCATAAACAAAAAGGTAGTAAAATATAAGTATATGACGGTGATTTGATTGCCTATGCGAATCACAAAAAATCACAATAACAAAGAGTGAATTATTTAAAATTTTAACGATAAAATTGATACACCTTGAAAATTTATTGTCTAAAACGTCAACAATTTATCCTGCCATTTAAATTTTAATGACCTAATTATATAATTAAAATTAAAGTTCATTCATAATTAAAAAAAATTAAAAGTTTAGTATAAATGATATACTATTTAAGATTTAATAATATTTAATGTAATTTATTTTAATAAATTTTAGAACATGTTAAATATATTTATAATTTAGTGCTGTAATGATAATTTAATAAAACTTAAACACAAAAACAATTTTATAATTCTAAAATCATAAAATTAATGTAACATTTATAATAACATATTAATTAATACTATATTTAAAAATAACTTTATATTTTATACATTAAATATAAATTAAAATCTAGAGTTCCTAAATATTACAATAACAATTAAACGAAATAATTTTGATTTGCTTGATTCAAGATACATCATACACGAAACCATTACCAAAAATAAATATGTAATAAAACTTCAGAAAATAGCATAAAAAATAAAAAGACTAACATGAAAGTTGTTTGTACATGAACTTCCGGAAGATCAAACAAACACCTTTCGAAATCATCAAAAATAAAAACAGAAAATATTTAAAGAGAGAGAATATCAAGAAAAAATATTACACAAAAAAAAGTCGTCAAATTGATATTATCTTAAAAACGCTTTGAAATTTTCTTTATTTTTTTAAGTTGATAAATTATATTTTAAGGGGGAAAAGAGTGAGTGATTATTTACGGTGGATAAAGAGTTGGATGATCTTGATGGGTCCACTGATTTTGGCTCCAATATGTTTGATCAACGGCGTTCGAATGATCAAACAGTCCCTGATCTCCAGTCCCTTCCCAATCTAACGGTTTAAATGCATTCTCCAATCTTCTATCCAAATGTGATTGCTCAACCTGCGCCGTCTGATCAAGCCATCCGCCGGTGATTTCCTCCCCTTCCATGTTCATCTTCTTTTCATGCTGCTGCCACAGCCCTGACCTATTTAATACAGTGCCGAAATCAAACGACAGCGTTTCATTGTTTGATGGAGTAATGAAGCTGGTTAAACTACCAATCTCCGAGAAAATCCCGCCGTCCGATCCTTGTTCCAGCAATCCTGGCTCGAATTCTAAATTATTAGGGTTTCCATAAAACGTGGAATGAGAAGTAATCGCCGACGCCGCCTCCGCTGTCCCGCCGAAAGAACTGTTATTGTTTCTGTTTATGTTATCACCGGTCGTCACTGCAACGTTACAATTTGCTGCATTAAGACTCGAACTCTCGCTGCTAGAGTGAGAGTTCACTTTACGTTGATCACGGATTTGGTTTTGCAGCTGCTGTCGTTTTGGATGTGGCGGTGAAGATACGGCGGCGGCGGAGGCTGCGGATAAGGATGTTTCGGACAAAACTTTTGCTTTACTTTTCGAGCGTTTGGCTTTGCGGCAGCCACCGCCGACGGGTACGTTACGAAGGACGCCTCCTTTTGTCCAGTAACGACGGCAGCCCTTGCAGAAATGACGCGGCTGAGAAAGGTTGTAATTGTTGTAGTAGCAGAACTTCGTGTTGAGAGAATCGCAGCGAGGACACTTAAGTGCTTGCTGGTTATGGTGGTGGTGCTGTTGTCGTAATCTTCCGTCTCCACCTTCTCCCGCTCCTCCTCCTCTGCCGCCGCTAAATTTACGGCCACCGTCGATCAAGTGGATTTCTTGCATTTACCAAAATTTTCGCTCAAAAAATATATTAAGAAAAGAAGAGGGAATTCGTTAGAAAATCGGTAAAGCGAAATAGAAAGGCAGAGCAGAAAATTTTGAAGTCAGAAATATCCATTTTCATATCTTCTAGTAGATCAAATTAACTCGCAATGACCAAGCTAGCCCTATTGAATAATGAAATTACGCAAATAGTGGTATAGAATAGGAAAGTACGGAATTATCCTTGAAAAAACAAGGTAGGTACATAGGTTTGTAGGGAGGGATCTGGAAATTGAATGAATGTACGGCTACATAGATAAAGGGATACGTGGAGGGCATTGATGCCTTCACAATCAGGTTGTCGTTATCGAGTTGTCTGCCACCCCCGGATTATTTTCTGCAGGAGTACCTTAGTGTTGATGATACTATTAGTGAATATTTTATAATATTATTTTAACAATAATGATTAAATATTTGTTAGAAAATTAATTTAAATTATGATTATAGTGTATATATATTAAGTTAGAGTGATTACAAAATATTGTATGTTCTAAATATTTTTAATTATTTAATAATGAACGTTCAATTATTTTTTAAGTCATTAGTGCTCGAACACATTACCTCTATAAATAATGTTTCTTTTAATTATTAAGGTAATTTAATTCGTGCATAATATATATATATTTTCTATTTTAGTAACTAAAAACTTTTAGTTCTGAGACAAACTATTTTACCGAACTACAGACAAAGTGTTACTCATCCGGTCTCATAATTTATGTCTTATATTGATTATTTATATAGTTTTAAGAGATATATTTGATGAATATAAATGACAAAATTATCTCTCAAAGGATGATTTATTGATTTGACATATTTGATTTAATAGGTATAAAAGAGTTTGATATATAAGGTTAAAAAAATATAATTGTTATTGTTTATTGATTTTTTTAATATAACATTTTAAATAAGATAATTTTAAAAATTAAAAGAGACGCAACAGAAAGAGTATTAATTAAAAAATTTATAATATTATAAATTAAAGTAATAATTTTATCAAATTAAGGGGTAAAGCATTGCCAATCACTTGGTGTCGTCTCAAACATGTAATAATCTCTAATTTAAGAGTGATTATTATTGATTATTTAGACATTATATTAAAAAAATAAAACTAATATTTATTTTTATAGATGAGATTTTTCATTTATGTAAATTCATTACAGGAAAAGTGAATTAAAAACATATTAATCATAAGATAATAACATTATAAAAAGTAGTATATATTATCAAAATCAAAATTTAAACTTGATTAAAAATAATTATATTAATAATGGGATTTGGGTGAAATGATAATGGGTTTCTTTTATCTTAATTAACTATCTGAGGTTTGATCTTTATTCTGCATATGAAAATAACATTAAAAGTTATGATAAATATTTAATTCTATCTGAATCTACATAATTAAAGGATTAATTGCTGAATTGATTATTGTAGATATTTTGTAAAATGAAAAAAAATAAAATAAATTATATAAAAAAATATAAATCTAAAGAAACGATAAACAACTTAAAGATAACGTATTTAAACCTTAAATACATGCATATCAGGTATTGGAAATATAATTTCGAGGTGTTGAAAACCTAAATATCATAAGACAACAACATATATGCAGGATGGATTGAAGGGATGGGTGAACATTCGTCCTCCTGAAAATTTAAAATTATTATATATTTTAGATTATTTTAATATATTTTTATTGAAAATTTATTTTCGTCCCCTATAATTTTATAATTTCAATTCCGTTACTTAAATTGAAATTCGTCTTCTAATATAAAATTTTGAGTTTGTGCATACATATATGAGTTATGCATTGAATGAATTAACGGAAAATTTTCATGTAGCAATATCAGTGGCAAAACACAGATGAAACCAAATCGAATAAAATCAAATTCGACCAATTTAATTGGTTTTCCCGATTAATGCTTAATCGTGTCGGGCCGAACCAGGATGATGGGATGGACGAACGTTTGGCAAACCCTAAATAGTTGAAGAAAGGGTACCGATGAAAGTGGGTCGATCGTCAACCCAAAATGCATGTGGATGCCATTAGTGCCTTTTGATTTTCCCAAGTTTATACTCAAACTAGGATACTACTTTACATGGTGATTATAAAATAGGGTAAAGTACACAAATGATCTCTCAGCTGCAGAATATTATTTTATTAAGTTTTTCGTCTGTTAAAAGTTATAAAATAGCCCTTCGACTATATAGTGTTATTTCGTTGAGTCTTTTGACTATTAAAAGTTTCAAAATGGTCATCGGACTATTCATTATGTTCCACACTTGTCTTTTTCCGTCAAAAAATTGACGGTATTTTGAGTCGAACATTAACATGTTGACTTTGATATGATAAAATATGATCCTAAAATCTCAAACGATTATCGTGTCTCAACCATCATGTTAACATCCAACATAGAGAACCACTAATTTTTTAACGAAAAATTATAAGTTTGGAACATAATAAATAGTCAGGTGACCATTTTGTAACTTTTAATAGTTGGGAGGCTTAACAAAGTAACATTCTATAGTTGAATGACCATTTTATAATTTTTAATAGTCGAGAGACTTATAAAATATTATTCAATAGTCAGGGGACCATTTATGTACTTTACCCTAGAAAATAATATACGTTTAACAAGAATTTAGTACACACTGACAAATACAATTATTTAAACCCAAACTCTCTAAAAAAAATAATACTATCTTCAATCAGTGAAATCAATCGATGGGTTCCATCACATGTTGACCTAAACATGCACTTTTTTACTTTTTATAACAATTAGTAATGTCTTCTCAAAGTTTTACTTATGATAATATAATTAGGGGCAAGTATAGGATTTTATTTAATAAATAAACTTTTTATAAATTTATTTAAAAAAATCTATAAAATAAAAATTATCGTTAAATAAATTATTGAATTCATGTTTGTTCATTTTTTATATTTTCAAAATTATGATTATATAGGTCATGACTATTGTCTTAGGGTACATAAAATTATATATTATATAGTGTATCGTATATACATTTATATGACAAACTAAATGCGGTAGAACGATGCTAATACTTATTAATAGCAATAGCACACGATTCAACATGGGATTCTCAATTATATATGTAACATCCTGGATCCTAATTAGAAGTTTTAGGCTAACCCGAGATAGGTCTTGATTAAATCTCTAGCTTGTAGTAAGCCTTGACCCAAGAATAAGTAGAATTGGGCTTGGATCCCAATTATGGATAAAAAGAGGTATTTTTAACTTACAACTAAAATCAGAAGGACCAAGGAAGCAAATATACCATTATTCAAAGTAAAGGTTAAAACTCAACTAAGATTGGTGATCTCGCGTCTGATTTTCGGATTCTCTTTTTTTCACTTCCCATGTCTCTTCTCACAAGTTATATATCTCTTCTTCATCATTCTCTTAATCAAAGGTGGAAGCTTTAGTTTAGTTTCAGTTTATTTCTTCAAAACAAGGTAAGGAGTGAACTCAACATCTTTAAAGCTTTATGTTGAATCCTCAACTTCACCATTTCACCATGAGAGCCAAGAAAGGGTTTTGTGGGGTTTAAGAGTTTTGAAGATTTTAGCTGTCTGATTTTCGGATTCTATTTTTTTCACTTCCCATGTCTTATTCTCACAAGTTATATATCTCTTCTTCATCATTCTCTTAATCAAAGGTGGAAGATTTAGTTTAGTTTCAGTTTATTTCTTCAAAACAAGGTAAGGAGTGAACTCAACATCTTTAAAGCTTTATGTTGAATCCTCAACTTCACCATTTCACCATGAGAGCCAAGAAAGGGTTTTGTGGGGTTTAAGAGTTTTGAAGATTTTAGCTCGTTTTAAATAATCCATAGGCTTAGGAAGTATTCTTATTACCTTCTTAACCATTTCTTTCAACTAGTAATCTATCCCTTGATGTTTGTCTAATGAGAGAGATTAGATAAAGCTCCAAAGCTAAAGGGAAGGAGAAACTCACCCTTGATTGAGCATTGGGTATTTTCAACAGTTTAACATCAAAGGTAACTCACACTTTACTCAACTATATCATATGTAAGTCATTTAGATGAAATGTACTAGGTTGCATAAGTTTGAAGCATTCCCATGGTAGATTTCATGTTTTAGAGTTATAGACATGTCAAGGCTGTATTTATGCTCCTTTGTATCTTCATAAAACATTAATAATGTCAGGGAACCTCACTAAGGTCTTTTAGATAGTAGAATAGGAGTTTGCACCTATTTTATGCTCTCTATAGGTTGAATTTTGATACTAGAGGGATAGTATCGAAACTTGTTCTTCTTTTCGGGCAAACTTGCGAGTTTCCCGGCAAGAGTATCGATACTTTGAGTCATAGTTTCGAAACTCCCAGAAAGTTTCGAAACTAGACAAAACATAATGTTTAAAAGTATCGGTACTTATATGAAGTATCGAAACTTTTGCAGGAGTATCGATACTCTTGGGATAGTATCGATACTTTTGCAGGAGTATCGATACTTTTAATCTATTTTGGACAAAAAGACTAGTTTTAAAGGGAATTTGACTTGAGGTACATAAACACTTCAATATATCATCAAATAAGATTTCAAGCGAGAACAATAATTAATATCAGAACAAAAGAAACAAAAATTACTAGATTTACATAAAACTAGCCTTATTTGACGCTCAAAAAATGATTTGGACACCCGAGTTCCTTTTAGCATAAATACGACAGTTAGGGGATCCAAGTAAGTGTTATAGCACTACAGTAGTCGACTGGGCGCATATGCCCCAAGACTCGATGGAGTAAGTCGGTGATTGTACATTCCGATGCAGAATTCTGGATCTCACCAATGAGTACCCGATAGTGCTTCGGTAACGCTAGAGGGGTGCGTAAGCTCCGAAATGCATAATCCCTCAACCGCACCATCATGTCATCCACGATTAGCAGTCCATTAGTTGTTTACTCAAACATGTGCCACTTGTCACTTCATCTAGTGAATGCATATAATATAATATAATATAATATAATATAATATAATATAATATAATATAATATAATTTTCAGCGAGGTACTGAGCTCGTATGCTCAACGTTCGGAATGTGTTTTCGTATGTAAGTTCTTAGGGTACAGGACGTGGGGAGCTATCGTCATCATATATATATATTCTAGTGCAGTA